ACATTTGATGAATTAACACATGGAGAAAATGAATAATTGCCCAAGACTGAGATTTCATATGTTAATATTATTTACTTTTAGTTTGTCTTTCTGTCTCAATTTAGCTTTGCATTTGTACCAAATGCAATCATATAAACGGGAAAAAATGCTGAAATGTGAGAAAACCATCTATAAGGTCTTTAATAATTCTAAGAACCAGAAAGAAAATAGAGTATGGAAACTGGCAAGAGCACACTTAACGTATTAATATATTGTTTGCATTTTACAGTGAAAATGCTGATTTCTTGCTATATGCCATGTCTGTAATTTGGAGGCTAATGTGTGTGCAATTTCTTGTAAAAGAGCTCTTAAGAGTCTCAACCTTAGGAAATAAGTAGCTTTCTTAGTCTCTAATCAGACGATCTTCTTGAAAATACAAATTACAATTGTTTAAAGAGGAAAATAAACAATTTCCATCAAATCATGAACCTTATGATTTTTTAAATTCCAAACTGCTTTGTAAATCAAGATTGGCCTATTTGTTTTAATGGCAAGCTCTCAGAAAAACTCTTGGGAGTTAATAATCAAGTTGATGCAGCAATTCTAAAGCCCATTAATCTGTATTTGTTTTTTTTTTTTTAACATCTTTATTGGGGTATAATTGCTTTACAATGGTGTGTTAGTTTCTGCTTTATAACAAAGTGAATCAGTTATACATATACATCTGTTCCCATATCTCTTCCCTCTAGCGTCTCCCTCCCTCCCACCCTCCCTATCCCATCCCTCCAGGTGGTCGCAAAGCACCGAGCTGATCTCCCTGTGCTATGCGGCTGCTTCCCACTAGCTTGCCTCTCGCTTTGTCACAGCTCACCCTTCCCCCTCCCCATATCCTCAAGTCCGTTCTCTAGTAGGTCTGTGTCTTTATTCCTGTCTTACCCCTAGGTTCTTCATGATATTTTTTTTTTTCTTAAATTCCATATATATGTGTTAGCAAGAGAAAGACAAATACTGTGTTTGTTTTAATAAATCTTACTACACACATAATGCACAACTGAGAGGTATTATATAACCTGGGTAAAGTCACTTTTCTTGTGTAGGAACTACAAAATGGGAATGGCAATTCACGTGTCAAAAAATGATTTTATTAAAAATTATCAGTTTTCATGAGACTGCCTCTATTTCTGGAATACAAATGCTCTTTCTATCTGAATCAGTCTTTGAACCAATGACAAAATTAAAATTGTATCTATTATCTGCCTGGATACACCTGATTCAATTAAATTTTTTTTAAAAAAATAAATTATGTGCTGTAAGAATTATAGGAAAATAATATTCATAACTCTTGGTTGGCAGACCAATTGTTCATGGCATTTCTTTACATAATTAGAGCTTCTACTAAAGTTAAAAAGAACTTTCTGTGCTTGACATTTGGATGAACATTGGTGAGGGAAAGCATACCTTTTCCCTAAGTTTCTGTAATACACATTTACAAACAGTGCTTTGTAGATAAACTTCCAAGAAATTTGTTGTCACATTTGCCTGCTGGGTATAGAGCTCAGACATGGTTGGGTTTGCAAGATGAAGCAAATTAATGCTTATCAGTCCCAAGCCGAGGTTTTAGTTAATGTCCTTCCATGCCTTCCCAACCCCCGCAATTGCAGTTAAAGTTCAACCATTCAGGTTTTAAGTGCAGCACAGCGAGACTGTGATTGATATCATCAGGCACGTAGACTGTGCTTTGCTATTGGGTCAGACAGCCAGGCAAGAAGAAAGCAGTGCCAACCCTATTATAAAATCCCTGCTTGTTAGGATAACTCTGGGAGCTGGCAACACAGTGTAGCAGAGAAGGCAGATTCTCGTGTCGTTTACTTTTTATGGAATTAGGATGCCATGAATCAAAGAAGGCCCTCTGGATCTTCTTCTAAGGACCTTTCTCCATTAAGAGGACCTAAGTCTAAGTGGCTCCTAGTGGTAGAGTCCAGTGTGTAGACCTTGTCTACTGGATGGCTGATTGTTACAGCTCCTCCAAGGAGGATTTCGTGTATGTATTGTAGGATGTTGCCAGTAAGCATCTGTTATTTCAGTGGATCTGTCCTACTCAGGTGGCCCTTATAAAAATACATGTTCCATCAGCTAAGCTTTCTTAATTGAGACTTGGAGCTGACAAGGCCACAATTAATATTGCTTCCTGCCTGTCTGAGTGTATGTTCACTGTGAGTGACGTATGGATGTATCAGTAAGCCCAACCGTGAATCCTATTAGCTTAGGAAATACAGAACACTTTTCTCTTCTGGCTTCTGCAAGACTAGGCAGGCTTTATGAGGGTGAGGAAAAAAAAACTAGTCTGGTTGAGGACCCTGCGGATTACAATCACCACATGTTGGAAGATTTCTACGTGAAATAGGAAGCCCTAGGTAGGAACAACCACGTCATTTGATCCCAGAGTGATCATTTGATTTGCTGACATAAAGCTGTATTTATTTATAGCTTCTGGCCAAGACAACCCCATTGTCAATAATGACAATAACACTAAAAGAAGTCAAGTGTTCCCAGAAAAGTATGCTTTTATTTTTTGACCTAATGATCGGGGTTTAATGAAGCTATTGTAATCTTTAGAGCACCATCGTGTTGTCTTTCTTTCCCATCTAGCCTCCAACTTCTGTGATTGCAGGGACCATAATTGGTGCATCTGTGCTAGTAACTAGCACAGTCTCAGGGACGTGGTAGATACTTAAAAATATCTGTGGCATGAATGAATGTTCTCTGCAGTTGGGGCATCTCCAGGAGCAGCAGACAGCATTTTCTGTCTGCTTTTACCCTGGAAGTTCGGTAGGAGAAACAGGCATAAGAAACATGGCGTATTCTTTGTGAGTGGTCTTCATCACTCAGCTCTCCTAAATCATTTGACATTTGCGTCTGTAGTTACTCTTTGTCTTTACCATTCCTAAATAATAAACAGATATTTATGGAATCCCTGGTATTAGCCCAGTGTCTCTGTGGGTTTTGTATTTCACTTGTGTCCTCCAAGTTCAGTGCTCTGTTCTGTGTTCTCATGGCCTCTGTACTCATCTCTCTCAGGGGAGCCCTGACCACCCTGTGTTGGTCGTTGCTGGATTACTCACGGGCCTTCCCCTTGGACTGTCAGCTTCACGAGGCTGGGATCTACTTCCTTCTGTATCCCCAGTTTCTAATATTGTGTTTGACCTACTGTGGACTTGTGTTGATATTTATAGAAGGAATGAATGAGTGAATGAATAAAAGAAATGAATGAATAAAATGACCATATTCGATGTTAGATCATCTTTAGGCACTCATTTTCAGATGCAGCTGGAGAAGTGAGATCCTGTGGCATGGTGTCCATAGTTGTTGTGATTAGCATGTCATTGAAACCTGTATCTGGCCTTGACTGCTATTGATGTGGTGCCTTGCTAATGTGTTTCTCGTCGCCAAGTAAGGGGCTCAAAAATTAAATGATTAAAATGATCTTTATATAGATATAGCACTAAAAATGAGAGATCTGGTTGTATAAATTACCAAAGGTCTACAGGCATAGGACTTAAAATGAATTAGGTCAGAAATTTGAACGGCCTTTAAAATGCGGCTCATGGCAGTGGCTCTTTGCTTTCTGCAGGGTTCTTCTCTGGGGTGTTGCTGTGATATGAAAGGCTTCAGGTCAAGGGTTTGAAGGTGAATAAAAATTCCAAGGGGATGAAATAAAACAAGAGTCAGATAATACAGCCAATGAAATGGTTTTCAGGATAAATAACTACAATTTTGAAACAGTGAGTTTAAAGTTTTCTGTTAAATAGAAGTAATACATATGGTATTAAATGGAAATATTATCAAGGATATTATATAGTATGCCTGTTTTTTCCCAGAGACTACCTCTTACTATCCATGTAGTTACCACATAAATCTAGGTGCTGTCCTCATATCCCTAGTCCGTGATAAATCAACTTTAAATGACATCTACACACTATAGAAAAGGAGGATAAATTTAGTCGTTTGTAATTCTCCTTCTATTCCTGCCAATATTTCGCAATAAAATTATTATTTTTAGTTCTGTTGGGCAGTGCTATAATCTTTAATTATTTGCTTGAGTTCCCATTTTTTCGGATTCATGTCATTTTTGTTGTCTTTCTTGCTATCTCATTATGTAAGATGAGGATGCTGGTGACTTTACTACCTGTCCTTCCTCCTGTTCTGTGTCTTACCTCTGCCAGCCCTTCTTTTACTTTTTCACTAACGTGAAAGTATCTTAGTATTTATATTCTGTTCTTCAGGGAGGGACTTAAAAATGATTTAAAGGGAAAATTGAAAACCAAAGACAAGAAGTGACTTGCCTGAATTCTGCTTAATGTTAGAGTTGGGACTAAAACCTGGGGCTTTTGACTGCCAACCTAGTGGGCTTTCTAGATAAACTCGTTGACCTCATTCATCAGATGTTTATTGAATGCTTATTCTCTGCCAGGCACTACATTAAGTACCAGTAATACAAAAATAATAAGAAATTGTCTCAAGTCTCATACTCTCATACAAATAGGAAAGACAGATGTGTAAACAAATAACTATGTTTCAGTGCAATAAGGTGCAAAGGAAGGTGTGTGTAGCTTTCTTTTTGTTTTTTAATCTCACAGGTCAGAGATTAGAGAAATGGATATAATTATTAGAAGTGACAGCTTTAATACATTGAGGAGACAGCATTTTACCCAGCTAACTTATGCATGTTTGAAAAATAAGTAAGACTTTGCTAATATAGTTAAAGAGAACTAATTTAAATTGTCTGTTTCGAGATTAAGTATAAAAGAAAAATTTTTACAAATTTATAACTATAAATTATATAATAAATCATATTATATGTGTTTAATAAGTTTTTATGTGAGAATATCCAAATATTCTTCAGTTGTCCTTATAGGTTTATTTAATATTTTGACTTTAAGTCTAAGGCTTATGCATTTTTTTAAAATAGATCTTTCTTATGGTGACTTGTGAACTTTTTCCTTTCTTTCTTCCTCCCTCAGATTTTCATCACTGTGAATTGCCTGAGTACAGATTTCTCCTCCCAAAAAGGAGTGAAAGGACTTCCTTTGATGATTCAGATTGATACATACAGTTATAATAATCGTAGCAATAAACCCATTCATAGAGCTTATTGCCAGATCAAGGTCTTCTGCGACAAAGTGAGTAAAGATGACAGTTTGTCATAAAGGTATTTTTGTTATTAGATATCACTTTAATGACATTTCCCCCTTGTCACTTTCTCTTGTCTAGTGGTGTCAAAATAATCACTTACCGATCACAGTGGGAGTGGTAATCTTTCATTCTCAGTTCCTATTAGATATCTAGGGAGTCATCAATCAACTGTATTTCTTTTTTTTAGTCAATCATTCTACCACTAATTTAATGACTGATTGACATTGCACTGTGCTATGAGTCTGATTCAGTTAGATAACTGAAATAATAGATTGTTTTTAGTGGATATATAGATCCTGTCCCAGAACATATCGATGTAACCGCTATTAATTTATGAGTTAAATGGGGTCTCAGCTAGAGCCTTTTGGAATGGAAATGGCACCTCTAAAATAAGTTCATTAGCAAACATGCTTCAGCAGAAGATGTAGTTTTTGAATCTTCTTGAAACCCCTCATAAAAGACAGAGCAATTAAAATGGCAAAGATGAAAATCCCGTGATTATGTGACAAGAGACCCTTACAAAATCCCAAATGTGAATGGGACCAAGCATCAACAATTTCAAGACCTGTCCTTCCTCCTGTCCTTCCTCCTCTCACGATGCCCTCCTGGGCATCGTGAGAGAAAGTAGTGGGCCCACTTGATGACCAAAGAACAGGGAACCTACCAAAGTGACGCATGGTACCAGAGAGAGAAGTGGGCCATCAGAGGACAGTATGTGAAACTAGGGTGGGAGGGGATGGATTGTACAGACTTCAGTTTACTGGTGGGTGCAAGGGGACAGAACACTGAAGTGGTCTGGGCTCTATAAACTCTGGAAAGTTATAAACTGAAGCTCCCTGGTAGGATAAAATCCTGCTCTGAGAAGAGGCTGCTGGGAGTAGAATCCAAGTTGAGTTGAACAAAAACAAAAACAAAGGTTCAAAGGAAAGAGAAGTTCCAAATAAAAAGGAAGAGGGGAAAAGATACAGAGTAGGCAGATCGCAGGAAATACAGGACTACTTTCTTTTATCACTTTGTGAACACAGCTGAAGCAGGAGCATGAGAGCCATGAAGCTAGAAGAATTATCCTAGTTCTCTCATTTCACTTTAGAAATGACAGGCAGAAAAGAAAAACAGTTGAATCCCATACAGTCTCATGGAAAAAATAATTAAGATCAGACTGACTTCCTGTGGACAGTGGATGCGTGCCAGAAAGACATGCCCACAAAACAGGTGAAGCCTATAGTCTAATGTTCCAAAAATGGGCTTAAAATTAACATAATTTAAAAATTTTTTTTTGAAATTAACAAAATCATGGAAATTATAAAGAGCAACATAAATCACAGTTTGAAAAACTTAGCCATGAGGTGTTTGGAAAACAGAATGATTTGAAAAGAGATATGGTAGAATTCAGGAAAGAATTTAGAAGTGAAAGATTAAAATACCTCTGAAGAAAAGACTACACTACAAGCAACACAGGAGTGAATAAATAAGAAAAGAGAATGCCTTAATAGAAATACAAGTTGGAAAAGGGGCAAAATTTAAAAAATCGGAAGAAATGGAGAAACAATTAAGAGAAAATAATAGATATAGAAGAGAGGTAAAGACGATCCAAGAGACATATAATATGTGTCTTTCAGGAAGAAAGCTAAAACAATGGAACAGAAGAAATGCTAAAAATGATAAATCAGGAAAACTTAAAATAAAAGTACACATTTTTAAATGGGCTACCATGCATCTGGGAAAGTTGACCCAGGATGACTTTAAAAATATTCTTTGAGGGCTTCCCTGGTGGAGCAGTGGTTGAGAATCTGCCTGCTAATGCAGGGGACACGGGTTCGAGCCCTGGTCTGGGAAGATCCCACGTGCCACAGAGCAACTGGGCCCATGAGCCACAACTACTGAGCCTGCGCGTCTGGAGCCTGTGCTCCGCAACAAGAGAGGCCGCGCTAGTGAGAGGCCCACGCACCGTGATGAAGAGTGGTCCCCGCTTGCCACAACTAGAGAAAGCCCTTGCACAGAAATGAAGACCCAACACAGCCAAAAATAAATAAATTAATTTAAAAAAAAAGGTAACAGATGTTCAAGTACAATTGGTGTCTTTTAAAAAAGAAAAATCCTTTGAGCATCTAAGAAAAATAAAATAGACAATGAGTCATTTATTTTAACTAATTTTTACTGGAGTATATAGTTGATTCACAATGTTGTGTTAGTTCCAGGTGCACAGAACTGGAACTGTGCACCTGGAACTAACACCTGGATATATGCATGTGTATGGTGAATCAGCCATACACATGCATATATCCACTCTTTTCCAGACTCGACTCTCATATAGGCTACTACAGAGCACTGAGCAGAGTTCCCTGTGCTACACAGTAGGTCCCTATTAGCCATCTATTTTATAGTAGATAAGGAGTCATTTATAAGGAAACTTTTATCATCAGACTTTTCAACAGCAACACCTTGTCAGAAGACAATGATATTTAAAGTAATCAAATAAAGAAAATGTGAGCCAAGGATTTTATATCCAGCCAAGCTGACTTTCACTTATAAAGATGACAGGCAAAAGCAAAACAAAATGAAACAAAGAAACAAAACCACCAACGAACAAACAAATCAAAAAATCCAGGGAATATTTCTTCTTAAGGAATCTATTAAAGCTTTAGACACCAGTATGACTGTAAAGACATTGATAAAAGGACTGATGGTGAGCATTATGTGTATATTTACCTTGGATCTAATTCTAAATGATGGGAAAGACAGTAATGGCAATGTGATATGTTCTGACAGTGTAGGCATAGTACACTTATTTAAAAATTGGGTAGGGTAGGGTGGGGAGAGAATATGAAAAATAGAATAAGCTGGCAACTGCTTATAGGTGTTAACTGGATGTAAAAGGGTGAGTTCAGACAGGCCCCGGGGGGAGGGGAGGAAAGGGGAAAAGAGGTTAATGGCTAATTCAGAATTGCCAGCACTCTTAAAGGTGCTACAGTCAGATGTAGATCAAAGATCTACCTTGCCATTGAAATGTCCGAGTTGTAGTTTAGCAGAGATAGAGAGTAGGAAGAAGTGGGCATCTGTGAACAGAGGCAGAGATGGTCATGAGAAAAGAGAAGGAAACACGTTAACTAGAACTGCACTGAGTTTAGGGACATGTGGCATAGCAGTGTCTCTAAAATCTCGATAGCCTTTCAGGTCATAATGACTTCAGTTAGTGCTACTCGTCAGAGCAGCACAGCCCTCTCGGGGACAGTTAGGCAGCCCCCACGATACAGAGGAGACACAGTTAAGTCAGTGAGACACGGTTGTTGTGTAGAAGAGAAAACTGCCAGCGAGCACAAGTAACTCGCCAGAGTCACACGGAGCTGGATGCACATCCACATCTGACTCCAAACTCATACTCCTTATATCTTTAATTCAGCATATTAAGCATTAAGGAAGCATTTTCAAATGACGTACAACATGGAATTTTTAAACTACACGTGGGAGAACGTTTAAACAATTTGAATTCCTTATTTTATTCCAGAAGTTTCAAGGGAGATGGTAGAATCTCCCTCAGTGAATCTCCTTCTTGGAAGGGACGAGAAAGATTAGGATCGAGGAGAAAGGGAGGGAAGGACTGAATGGAGGCCCTGGGCAATCCATTTACCTTTATGTCATAGCTGGAATTGAAAGTAGGAAAGAGAGGGCTTAAGGGATACTCATATAATTATTTTTTTTCAAGTGTTGAGGTCATGAATACTAAAAATCAAAACAAAGCAAAAATGCAGAATACATAGAGAGAGTTGTATTGTTGTTCACCTATGCCCTAGAATGAGAGGGACTCTAAGAAACTCGTGACGCAAAGAGTTTCTAGTGGGTAGTTTTTAGTTTACGTTTCCCAATGTTGAGTGTTAGGAAACTCATAAGGAAGAAATCTCATGGGACAAGCAGGGTGTATTAACCTTAACTGCTATTAATTTTTCTGATAAGCTGGAAACAAACTTTTTTTGCTATAATTTGTCATCATATTTGTAGCTCTGATTTCAAAATCCAGGCAAAACTCACTCCTGGGAAATTAAAAAGAGAAAAAGTTTAATTCTTGCACTTTTCAAATGGGTGTGTAAATGCAAATGATTAATTTGAATTATCCTCTAAAGCAAAAGAATTAAGAGCTATTCCATTTAAAACTGTAAATTTCCCAGTCCCAGTCTAGAGTTTTAAACAGATGGTATTCTGCACTATTTATAGTTCCCCAGCTTGATTTCTAATTAATGCACCTGTGAGATTGCAGATGAAGATAAAGTCCTTCTCTACCTTTTTTTGATATTATGATACTTCTATTAAAATATATGTTTATGAATTTAAAAATTCAGCATCTGCTATATGGCTGTACCTATATCAATACTTATGTCTATATCTTTATATCCGTATTTAATTACTTCCATTATCTTTTGAAAGACAAGAATTATATTGCTGAAGACAGCGACTATATATTGTTCAAAACTTGAGAATAAAGCCACATTCTCTTAAGAATTTTTTTCTCTTTATTAATTCTTGTTTGGAATGATCTTGGAGACAATGACTGTTGGAGATTATGAAAAGCTAAAGATATCCCTCCAAATTACCTTCTTAGCCAACTTAAATAGGTTAAGGCCACATTCTTTTTATTTTTTTTTAAATATCTTTATTGCAGTATAATTGCTTTACAGTGGTGTGTTAGTTTCTGCTTTATAACAAAGTGAATCAGCTATACATATACATACATCCCCATATCTCCTCTCTCTTGCGTCTCCCTCCCACCCTCCCTATCCCACCCCTCTGGGTGGTCCCCTCAGTTATCTCTTATTTTTATTTATTTAATTAATTTATTTACTTTTAACATCTTTATTGGAGTATAATTGCTTTACAATAGTGTGTTAGTTTCTGCTTTATAACAAAGTGAATCAGTTATACATATACATATGTACCCATATCTCTTCCCTCTTGCATCTCCCTCCCTCCCACCCTCCCTATCCCACCCCTCTAG